TTATACATATTATAATAACAAAAATTATATATATTATATACTATATAATATATTATAATAATGCTATTTTTTGTTCTAATAAAAATTTTTTATAAAAAAGGCTTTAAGGCTAATGTCATTTGAAAGATATTAATTAATTAGCATATTATTTCCTGTTTTTAATTAATAATTTGTTATATTAATAATTTGTTATTAATGTTTTATTAATAATATCATTTTTATTTAATACAATTTAAAATTGAATAAATTAAACAATTAAAATATTTAAGAATAATTGATTGATTGGTTTTATGTGAAGTATAAAATTTATTATAATTTTAAATGAATATAGATGTCGGTAATGATTTTCTTAATTTTTAAGCATATTGATTTTGATCTTTCGCTATAATTGTCAATGCTCATAAAATTAATTTTGAAGTGACTTGATTTTAAATTCAATTTTGTTTTTGAAATCTCTGATATATTTTATAACAAAATATTCTTTAATATGCATTTTTCAATTTCAATTTTATAACTGTTTCAGTTCGTTACTATATTAAAATGATTCTTTTGTCTTAAAAAAGATATTGTATAATTTTATATTTACATATATTTTCTATACAATTAACATTGACATTTGTTTTAAACTTCAGAGAAAAATTACGTAACGATAGATTTGAATTTCATCTTTTAAAATTCATTAATTTTACTTTTTCATTCTCTCTTTTAACTTTTGATCCTATGAATTTCTTTCTTAATTTTTTCTAAATCTTAAATTTTAGCAATATATTTTCTTTTTAAAATAAATCCGAAGAAAATTGTTTATCAAAGAAATGAAATTTTATCAAAAAAATAAAATTTCTTAAAATATATCAAAAACTGATATTTATTTTTTTTTTATGAAACAATATTTTTATTTAAGTCTGTTATTAGATTACTACGAGTTACAAGAAAAAATTTTATTGCGAGAATTTCGACTTTTTCAAAATCGATCAAAGATCTTCTAAAAAAAAACCTACTTTTTCCATAAATAGAAAAGAGTTTCACTCAAAAATAAAAAACTCATTCTATTTTTCTTGGACGAGAATAATTAGAGAATAATTAAATAGATGAATTTCTTTCAATTTCCAATACTATCAATATCTTTTCATATTAGATCAAGATTCAGATCAAAGATAGTTTCCAATGAACCAATAAATCATTTTTTCATTTTTATTTCTTTTTTAAACATTTTCTCTTATTGCTTGAGAACTTTGTGTTTCTAATAAACAGCTTTCATGTATAACTTTTGAATGAAAGATGAATACGATAAATCTAATTTAATTTAATAAATTTTTTATTTTTTCTATAGGTATTCTGGTAATTTCGGTAAAATATTTTTCTTTTTCAGTATTATAATGAGCTTATTATATATAAATTATACTATAATAAATTCATGCAGATTCAATTCATATAGACTATTATAAATCGCTTAAGCAATAATGTACTCATATAGATTTGAATTTTTGTAGCAGTGTTCTATCAAATGGCAATTACAATAATGATGAGGTGCAGTTATTATATGTATCATAACATATATTATTACTAGGAAAGACAAACTATTGAAATAGAACTTTCTCAATTTTAATTATTTAGCAGTTGAACTTATAAGAATAGTAATTAAAAAAGTTAATTGTTAGCTAAATATTTTTTAAGTTTTCTTTTGATAATTGAGATAGTAGAATTTTAGAAAGTGAATCCTCTAAATAGCTAATGCTTAATGTTTGCTCTTTATTATCATGTTTTTTTATCATGACTCATTAACAGTTTGAATTTTGTATTTGTTGCAAACAAGTATATTCATTGGGCGTTATTTCAGCATTTTCTTGTTAAAACTATTTCTAGTAAAATTTCATGATAGAAAAAAATATATCTAATATTTTTACTCTTAAAATAATTATATCTTTTTGATATAAAATCTATATGTAATTATATAAAATTGATATAAAATCTACATGTCTTTTATATGTAATCATAATTGCCATATCATATTTTCATTTTTTGTTAAGTGAAATCTAAAGATATTTTTGAGAAATTGTAAATTATCACTTTTTCTTCTTTTACATTTGAAAAAATAATTCCTCTTCATAACTATAAATATAATTTTTGCTTAAATAAAACTATTGATGGCTATAATTAATCTTATATTGTATGGAATAATAAACTAGAAAAAGTAATAAAGTAATAAATATTTTTAAAATAATTTTAAAGAATAAAGATTATTTTATATTTTTTTAACAGAAAATGAAATATATTTTTTTTATTGTTTTTTGTCTATTAATTAATTTTATTAGATTTTAAACATGTTTTTTAACAAAAAAATTTAAAAATTTTTTAAAAAATTTAATTCTATATTGATATTAACTCTGTATTGATATATTATATAACTTTAAAAACATTTCTAAATAAAATATTTATATCTGATATTTTATTTTATTTTATTTTTGGTGTATTATTTTTAGGTCTTAAAGGCTTCAGCATCATATATATCAATATTATATGCAATGTATTAATTACGAGGATCATTATACTTCGTCCTGAGAAATAGAATATGTATGAATATGTATTGGAATATGTTTACAGATTGAAAATATATTATTTGAATGTATTATTAATTATATATATATAAAGCAATAAAAACTTGAAATATTGCATTTTATTTATTTAGTATGATTAATTTTTTTAAAAAATATATATCATATTTATATATTATATTTTTTGAAATATTAATATCTATTTATATCTTTGTTTTCAAAGATTTTTCTTTCAATTATAATAATATTCAAAATTTTAAAACGATATATATGATATATATGATACTCATACTATTTTAAATTACAATTACAATTAATTATTCTGATATTTTTGATTTTGAAGTAATATAATACATAAAGATATGTATATAAGGATAATTAATTTTTTTTGTAGAATATAAAATATATTTTGTTTAACAAAAGCTTATCTTATACAAACTGCGACAAATTTATTATAATTCAATATTATAAGATGATACAAAACATAGATAAAATCGTTATTATATTTTATTCGATGAAGTCCAAAAAAAGAAAGTTGAATAGATCTGTAACAGCAATGAATCAGCTGATAAATATTTTTTGTTCTCAATTGTTCTCTTTTCACTTTGATGCACACAATAAGTTTAGATGATACATTTCAGCAATCATTGTTTAAACTTATTTATCGAAATCCAAATCTATCATTTAATAAAAATATTAAAAATTAATTAATAAATCTTTTTCTTCTATTTTCTATTTTATTTATATTCTGATGTATATTAGAATTGAATAAACAAAAAACATAATAATCGAAATTCAATTTTCATTACATTTCTATCATATTTATATTATCATTATTAGAAGCATAAATGTGTATTATACTATATGTATGTTATTATAAAACTATATATTTATCAATCAGGATTTCATGAAAAAATTATATATAAAAATAATAATGGAAAAGAAAATATCTTAGCAATTTGTATATCATTCACTTATTATTAAATTACGTTTAATTATTGTTGAATTTAAATTATGCAGGTTTAATAATCTTATGTATATGTTTACAGAAAACTGATAAACTTTATGATATAAAAATAAAATCAGAAAATATCTTCTTGGAATTGAATTTTGGAAAAGATTTTCAACTTTCAGATTTAATTTCAACAGATAAGAATATGTATAAGAAGTTTGAGCTAAAATTATTTCCAAAAATCAAATTTATTATATTATATTATTATAAATTATATTTTGTCATGATTTATTTATAAGTTAATTTTGAATGATTTCAAAATTGAAATTACTATTAAATTATAATAAATTATTATGAGCTATATCAATAAATAAAAGAATGTTAGATCTGATTCTATGAATGAAGATTAGCTTTTTTAATATACTTAAAATTAATATTAAAATTATTGAAACTCAAATCTTGATAATAAAATTAATTATTTTAAGAAATATTGTAAATATAGTATAAAAAGTCTTTAAATAATAAAATCTTAAATAGTAATGCAAAAAAATTAAAACAATAGCTCATTTCGAATTAATTATTGAATATCATTAAGAGAAATTACAAATAAGAATTCGATTAAAAACAGATTATCTAACATAATATATGGAATGAATTCATATTTAGGAAATCAAAATCATAAAATTTATAAAGTTAATAAAATTTATTTAAAGAATTGAATTTAAAATTAAAAAATTATATTTTATTAAAACTAGAATTTGTTATTTATTATAATCTAGTATATTATAATATGACAAGAAGAATTTGATCATTCTAAAAATAAATAATTTTCTGAAAATTGAATTAATCAATTAAATTTTTTTTAAAAATTAGGATTAATTTATTAGATAATGTATAAAAAATTTTTAAAAAATTGCAATTTTTAAAATTTTTAAAAAATTTTTAAAAAAATTGCAATTATAAAAATATTGTAATAAGAATATATTATGTGCGGGCATTGCCATAATTAACTTAAACATTAAAAAAACGCTATATATTTTGAACTCATATGATATCACACGTATACAAGAGATTACTATATAAATTATTTAATTGTTGTTGTAATAAGTTACTAATAATATATTTAAATTTAATTTATGCAAATTTTATTTATTAATAAAATTAATAAGTAAATATATATTAATAAAAATTATTTATATAACATGCTTATTTGAAAAGAATCTTATATATATGTTATAATTTCGTGTTTTGAAACAAGTTTCATATATCTATATAATAGTAAAATTTTATTTTAATATTTCAATAAGTATATATCAAAAATGACATTTGTTATATATATCTTTTGTTTTCAAAAATAAAATCTTATGTGGAAGATGCGTTATTTTAATTTTGATTAAGATTTTTTTAAATCAAATAATATATAATATAATATACAATGTAATATACAAAATATAATATTCAATAACTAAATATATTTTATATGAAGTAAAATAAATTAAAAATATTCTGACAAAAATAAATAAAAACAAATGTAATATGTTTAATGTTATGTTAATAAAATAATGTAATGTTTACAAATGTAATGTTTATGTTAATAAAATAATTTTATTAGCGGTGATATGTATATTAATAATTTAACATTATCATTCATAATTAAAGTTATTGAAATAATATACATTTGTAAAATAGTGAATAAATTATTAATTTTTATTAATAATTTATTGTTATTACAAAATTCCTAATTTATGTATAAATGTAAACTAAGTATATTATATTATGTAAGCATTATTTGATTAATAATGTTACAACTTATCTATTAAATTAATTTATTTACAATTACGAATATTATTATTTACAATACGAATTACGAATATATATAACATATATAATATAATATATACAATATATAATGTAATATATATATATAATAAAATAACAATTTATATAATTATTTATATTGCAGATAATTTTTTTAAAAAATATACAAAAATATTATATACATATGTTTACAATCTTTAATTTTATTAAATTTTATTTTTCAATTTTCTTCAAGATTATTTTTAATATATTTTCTACAAAATAAATATAACAGGATATTTCATTATTAATTGTAAAAATCCTAAAACATATTTCTTTCTATCAAAACTTTTGCATTTCCTTCAACTTATAATAAATCTAATTTAATATGCACTTACATATCGTATCCTTCAATACTTTTCTGAGAAAACTAGTCATTTTATGTTATAGTAAAAGTTGAAATTATATTTTGAACAACATACTTTTCACTATCCTCAACTTTTGTTTGCAGCAAGCCTACAATCATTTTGTGATATTATTTACAATATTTATGTGGATTCTGAGAATGTGAAACAAATGGCTAGACACTCGTGAATAATTTGTGCATGCTTGCGCATAATTTTTATGTATCTTTTAGTTTATCGTAAACGTGCATATACGTAAGTTTTTTAGTAAGATTAGTCTTCAGTAAATTTGTTTTCTGGTAATAGTGATGCGTATTTGTGAAAATTACGTGATTTTATAAATGAAAAGTATAGTTTAAAAATATATAAGCGAAAGAATACAAAATCTGCATAGAATGCTTGTATTAAATACGCTTAGCCCATCTGTTAAATTCGGCCTTCATTTTGCTGGTATTTGGCCTGGAACACCATTTCCATATTTACATAAGTTAGGTTGGCTGGCAGTAATGGCTGTACTTCAAAGTTATCAGTATAGATATATAGTAATGCATTATAAATCTGATAATCTCATGAGTATAATAGATAATTTAAGCATAGCTATGCCGTTCAGTCTAGTGTTTATCAAATTAATTGTTACTTGGGTGAATTATGGGTAAGTTATGTTTTATTTTTAATAAATATAAATTTATAAATATTTGTTAGAATATAGAAAATGTTGTCAATATTTTTTGTATCTTTTATGTTTTGAACATTGATTCATTTGAAGTGACGCAATTAATGTATTATTTTTCAATATGAATATAGAAGTTTAGCTTATACAATAAAAAAGTAAATAAAAAAATAAAATACAATAAATTTTTTAATTAGAGATTAATAGAATTTCGTTTAAATGAAATTTATATAATTAAAGTTTTATTGTATTAATTCTATTGTATTTAAAAAAGTTTTAAAACAAATGAAAAAATTTTATTATAATTTATTTTATTTTTAATTTATTTTTGTGTTTTGAATATATTTTTATTATATATTCTACATACAATGAAATATTCTATATTATATAGAACATAACATGATAATTGTTCAATGAAATGAATAAAAAGTGAAAAATAAATCGAAATAAATTTTGAATAATATAGTCATTTTATATTGTTTTTTTTATCATTTATACTAATTTTCATATTTGTAATTTATATTACATATTTATGTATTTGTTTTTATCATTCGTTTTTTATACATTATCAATTTGTTTTACTTTTTCATCGAAATACTTGTAAAATCAAATTTTACAATAATTTTTATTTAATATATTAATATATAGCGTGTTTTGTGATATTTTATCAACTATGGAAAAGGATTGCCAAAAATATGCTGTTATAGACATAAATAATTTAATATCGAAAACGAGACAAATCTCTTTTTATATGACAACTATTGTCATGTCTTCATATTTAGTATCTGCTGCTTTTTATATTACCGGTACTTTAGCTATTCAAAGAACTAATGATTCAATACCTCGAGAACTTCTTTTCAAAATGGATTTGCCTTTTGAAACCAATGAATCTCCAAATTATGAATTTGTAGTAACTTCGCAACTTCTTATTCATATATCAGCAGCTCTTACGTTTGGAACATTCAGTGCTCTACTTCTAATGGTGGTAGGTATGAATGTGATATTTCTCCTGAATAATTACACAGAGATTCTGTTTGTATTTTAAATATTTCACTCATCATTGATAATAAAATAGGAAAAATACAAAGAAAATACTATTTGATTCAAAGAGACAAATAAACAATATAATAAACATTAATAAAATTATATAAATAATAAAATAATAATTAATAATGTACAAAAATTATTCTCAAAATTATTGTATTAGTTGATTTTAAGATTAATTTAATAATTTCCTGAGAAGTAATTATAATTTGGAAACATAAAAAAAGGATTAAAAAATTATTTATTAAAACAATCTTTTAGAATCTATGAAAATATATTGAACTTATTGAAATTTTTCATTTATCTCACTTTATCATAATTGTTATTGCATTTATTTATATTGTTATATTATTATAAACATATCTGAAAATTTTTTATTCAATGTTATGAAAATGATTGAACTTAATCATAATATATGATAAAAAATATAAAAATATTGATAATTTTGAAAATAATTTTTTTTTTATGTAATCATATTTGCTACTTCAATCGAATCGAATCGTTTTCTTGCAACACTTTTTCCTATCATCAAGAAGAAATATTTAAATTAGATGAGATGCGTTTCGTTTAAAATCTATCACATAAAGAAAATCTTTTGCTCGAAAAGTCAAATTTAATAAATATAATGATTTAAAAATATTCTCTAAGATATAAACAAATATTTATTTGAATATTTATTTTTTATAATGTAAAATCTTATGTTAAATTTATATTTGTATTATATTAAACAGAATTCTTATTTCAATTACTTTATCATAAAAATTCAAATTTTTAGGTTCTTCATATAGGATGTCAAATTGATATTTTCTGTCAAAATTTATTAGATATTCCTCATATATGTGCAAGTCATTTAAAGTTTTTTATTATCAGACATCAAGAAATCATTATTTTTGCAGAAAGAATTGAAAAACTGTTTACATATATAGCACTTAGTCAACTTGTATCAAATACTTTAATTACTTGCTGTGTAGGATTCCTTATTGTAATTGTAAGTAATATTTCAATTTATATATAATGATATATTGACTTTTTCATATTAAAAATGTATAAAATGAATATTACAGGCAATACACGAGGATAATGGTTTTCTATTATTACTCAAATCTGTTTTATTTTATATGGTAATTTGTTTAGAAGCATTTATATATTGTTTTGCTGGTGAATATCTTCGTATTAAGGTTTTTAAATAAAATATCATTTTGTTTTATTATATTTTTTGTCAAATGTCAAATGTACTGTAAAAATATAATGATTTCTTTTTTGAAAAGAAGATCTTGACAACAATATCTATGTTATAATTTACTTATTTATTTCTTGTCATAAATTAAATGTTTCGCTTTTATGTCTTCTAATATTATAATAAATTTTATAATATTATTTTTTAGTATTTTAATAAAATATTTATTATGTATTTTAATATATATATAGATATCTTAAAATATGATTAAAAATGATTCTGTTAATATACAAATGTCAAACATAAAATGGAGCATTTAAATAAAGTCATCAATATATGAGAGAGAAAATTATTTGAAAAAAATTTTTCTTAAATTAATGTATTAATATTTTCTTAATATAGTTTATTTTTATGTATCACTTGTTATACTTATATAAACAGAAAAGGAATGAAAACAATAATCTGTAATAATTTTATTATTTATTTATTAGAATATTTAATAGAATATTTAATTAAAATAATAAACAAATTATATTTATAGATTTACATAATAAACAAATAATTCATACTATTCTAATAAAGATAGAAATTTTTTAACAGACTTGTTGAATTTATTTATAATAAAAAACAAAATTATTGTCAAATCATGCATTTCAATTCGAACTATACTATAGAAACTTCAATTAATATCTTCTGGATCCAAATAAAAAAATCATCAACATTTCAGAATATAAAATTAATTGAAAGTTTCTAAAAGTTTTATTAAAAGTTTTATTAATGACTCAATTCAGTTAATGATTTCATTAAAAATAGAGGATATAAATCTAAAATAATATTATAAAAAATTTTAATAATCTAATGCAGATAGAAGAAGATTTATATTGAAAATAAAAATTAATAACTATTACTATTTTATAAAAATTGATAAAAATTGTAAAAATTTACCTAGAAACATTAATAGTATAAAATTTATAATATATAGTATAGTACTAATAAAATCCGAATGAAATGCTATTAAATAGCTATTAGAAAACTAAAGTATTTAAAAAAAAAAAAAGAATTATATAAAAAAATATCTAAAAAATTTGATATCATTTAATGATAAAGATTAACGATAAAGATCTTTATGAATAATATATTTTAATAAGTTTAGAAAAATAAACAACCATGAAAATCAATACCATAGATTAAATTGAAAAATGAAGAATGGGCAAAGAAAGAATAATAATTTTTGTTTATGTTTGTTTGTTAAAATAATATCTTAATAAGAAAAATAATATATTAATAAGAAAATAATATCTTAAAATAATATCTTAATAAGATCTTTCAACTAATAAAGATAGAAATCTGTTTTTAATAATAATAAAAAGAAATTAAAATTATTGTTTTAATTCTCACCTATAAATTAATTTATTATTGCAGAAATTACAAGAATATATAATAATATGCAAATCACTAAACTCCTGGCTTTAATTTAATAATTAACAAAATTTAAAAAAAAAAAGAAATAATAATTTCTTTTCCTTTCTTCTTAACGTTATTTTGAATCTTTTGAATTCTATTCATTCATTGACAATAAACATCTTCGTTTTCTTTGATTTTCAATAAATTTAAATCAGAATTCGTTTTTCTGATTTCAGCGTTTCGTATATTTTTTATTATTAATAAATATGAAATGACTTGATTTTATATGTTCTCCTATTTAAATGTTCCATCTAATAAAATTATTTATTAATATTTTAAATTTAATAATAATATTTAATAATATTAAAATGTATTTCATTATTAGAGCAAATTAATCGGCGATACAGCTTATGAATTTCTTTGGTATGATTTACGACCAAATGAAAGACAACTTTTAATACCTGTTATACTAAGATCTCAAAAAGGTTTCACATTTACTTTTGGAAAATTTTCAAGTCTTTCCTTAGAAAGTTTTACAGGTGTAAGCTATTTATTTTTTACATTTAATGGTTTTAAATAATAATATTATAGAATATACATAGTGGCATGCAAGAGTCTCTGACAAGAGCAAAAAAATTTTGAATAATATAAAAATA